TAGTATATATATATATATATATATATATATATATATATATATATAATTAATGTTGGATGTTTATTACAAACTCGCTACTTTTTACTTCACAGGACTTTAATGGACTGGAGTCATGTTGATTGCTTGTGGATTATTGTGATGTTTTTATCAGCTGTTTGGACTCTCATTCTGACGGCACCCATTCACTGCAGAGGATCCATTGGTGAGCAAGCGATGGAACTTTCTCTAAATCTGTTCCGATGAAGAAACAAACTCATCTACATCTTGAAAGGCCTGAGAGCGAGTAAGTTTTCATTTTTGAGTAAACTATTCCTTTCAAATGCCATTTTCGTGTTGTCTTTAATAAGAAATGACACAAATGAATGTTGTGATGGTACTGTAGATACCAGGTAGTTTAAAGCATGCCACTTTGCTCACCTGTGTTTTCCAGCTGGTTCTTTGAAGTATTAGGTTACCCCAAAGCCTCCAAGCCCAACATGGCTAACGGGGTACTGATGGCAGCCGTGTTTTTCCTGGTGCGGATCGCCGTCATGCCGGTATACTACAGTCGAATGTGCTCAGTGTACGGCACAGAGGCCTTCTACAAGGTCTCCTTCGGCGGCCGTAGCGCTTGGATCTTCTCCAGCATCTGCCTGGACATCATGAACGTCATGTGGATGCATAAAATCGCTCGCGGCTGCTACAAAGTCCTGCGTTCCAGCCGGAGATGCAAACCCGAGAGCCAGGAGAATGGAAAAACCGATTGAGCGAAAAGAAAGGACATTAGAATTTTACACCATTTGCTCACAGACAGGGTCGTTGTCTTATTGACGGTCTTCATGGGACACTATGGTGTGATAGTTGAAAACCACCCCAGAGCAATATTTAACAGAGTTAAGACCTGACACTCTGACAAAATGTCAAATTGAGATCTAGTACACCAGAAAAGACTGGCCGCCCACTTTTATTTTGTGTTTGTTTTGAAACTGTACACCAAAAAGTGCAAACGATGCACTGTTCGAGTTCACCGGCTGAACTGTATTTTAACCATGTTTGGTTTTAATTTGAAACTGTGGGCAGGTAAACCACATTATTTATTCATCAAAGTTCAGTCCCTCGCTCTCAATCACTGTACTGTGCAAAGGGGCCAAGCGGTCAGTCACCTGATGTTCACGTTTACTTCAAAGCCGCTTATATTGACTGTGAAAGATTCGTCCACACAACTCCACTGCACTAAACGAGGAAAATCGGCAATCTGGATCAGTGTACTCAACAAGAATCTCCTGGAAAATTAAAATCACATACTTGTGATGTATTAGATATTTTAACGGATGCACAGATGAGATCCAACTGTGGGTTAAATAGGCAAAATATTTTATATATACAAGATATGAGCATTGATGCATTGTGATTGCATTAATACAGAACTGTTTTTAAGAATGAAACCGGTTTACACTTGCTCCAGATTCTGTTCAGATTTCACTCCGTTCCCATGAAACGGATGTCATGCTTTGTTCACACTGTACAGTTAATTGCATGCGGCGATGTTGTTCTCTGAATGTTTGCATTGTACATAGAAATGTTATTGAACATACGGTAATTATTTTAATTACGTTGGTGTACAGTGCATCCGATCAATACTGAACTTAAATGATCGATTATGATATGGGAATGGTTTTAAAAGCAATTTCAAAAGAGTAGAGAAGAGTGTAGCTCGTGAATGTTCAAGGACTTCTCAACGTCGGATCATTTTCCTGCATCGTACACTCTTAAAAATAAAGGTGCTTCACGATGCCATAGAATAACCTTTTTGTCTAAATGGTTCCATAAAGAACCTTTAACATCTAAAGAACCTTTCTGTTTCACAAAAGGTTCTTTGTGGCGAAAGAAGGTTCTTCAGATTACAAAAAGGTAAGAAAGAGATGGTTCTTTAAAGAACCTTTGACTGAATGGTTCTTTGTGGAACCAAAAATGGTTCTTCTATGGCATCGCTTGAAGAACCTTTTGAAGCACCTTTATTTTTAAGAGTGTACCTCTATTTATTAAACCAGTTTTGTGCTGGGACAGAATGATAATGTTTGTACGGCATATTTATTATTTTTTTAACGGAAGGATATAAAAGTGGTCAATGTATCTGAGTAGATATATACAGCATATGAGAGAATTCACAATATAGTGATACTTTTATGAATTCATTTTCAAATTCATTGTCACTATGTATGACGAATTTAGTGTAGATACTCATACTGTACATGTGCATTCAGTGGCGGCACAGATGTGAACGCATGAGTTTTGATTTAAAATGTATGAAAGAAAGTTTAAGGTGGCTTACAGCGATTTGCGTGGAAACAAGTTTAAAGTGGTTCTGTTTTTAATGAACTAAGTACTTGGATTTTAAAATGTGTTATTCTGAGAGCCAGACCTATGAAGGATTGTCTTTTACTGGCACGAGATATACAGGAATCCATGTTGTGATTTCTTTCTTTCTTTCTTTTTTTTGCCTTTGTATTCAATCACTCAATGCCTTTTTTGTTTTGTTAAATAAACATCTTTTATTTACTTGTCCTTTTGTGTCATTTAGTGTAATTTTGTACCATATGGTTCATTGTATGGTCATTTAAAGGATGTATGACTATCACTTTAATTTTTTTATCTTTTTAGTTCTCACCAATGTTACAACCAAAGGTCAAAAGTAAGAATGGCTGTTCTCAATCGTACATATTAAGTCAATGGTGGCACACACCAACAGTCCGTATAATTATGAAAACGCCCAGCTGGGTGAACAGACATGACTTATAACACTGTACAAGAGTAATCTGAAACAAGCAAAGGAAAATAAGGGAAGAGTTCATTCAATGTAAATTATCTTTCAGAACCTTGCTGGTCATTTCCAAGAAAGCACTGAATTATGAATCTGTGAACAGTTAAATGTCATTTAATATGTCTTTTTTTTTTTTGTCAAAACAATGTTGAATTTTACTTTTACTAAAAGTCCTTTCAATACATAAAAATCAAAACTTTTTTTTTAATTTGGTTTAATTTATGGAATGTGTCAATGCACGATATCATGACTGTGTATTTTTATTACTGTTGCGTTCCATATACAAATGTCACAGCCGGAAACTGTTGCCATGTAAAGGTTTACAATTTATTACTTCGGTAAATACAGGGAGCTTGTTCCCAAAGTGAAGGAAAGTGCATGTACCTGAGGAATGAACATGTTTATTCTTTCACGTGTCTTAATTTTTCACTTTCGTTATGCCATTTGCCTCAATAAAGCAATATGTTCATTTTGATTCATGATGATTTTGTGTCCTTCTTTTTAAGGTTAAAGGGGTCATATGATGCTATTTTAAAGATCATTATTTTGTGTATTTGGTGTAACAGAATATGTTGACATGCTTTAATGTTCAAAAAACACATTATTTTTCAAATACTGTACATTATTGTAGGTGCTCCATGACCCGCCTCTCTCAAACGCTTCGTTTTCAACAAAGCCCCCTCCTTTGACAAGCGCAGTCTGCTCTGATTGGCCAGCTGACCCAGTGCATTGTGATTGGCCGAACACCACAAGCACGCGTCGGAAATGTAACGCCCCTTACTATAATCCATACCATAAGACAGCTGACATGCTATGATTTCTGACAGGCAGTTCACTCTCCTGTGATGTGACTCTGTTCCCCTCACACACACACACTAAAGAATATCTCTTTGGATTTGAGACTTTAGTCTTTGCAACTTTACAGATCTTCTTTATGCACCAAGAGCTTGTAACACTCCAAAAGAGAAAGGAAAACTTGAAATCGCATCATATGACCCCTTTAAACTATAGACTGTATAGGGTGAAACCTTTGTGTTGGTTTAATTTGATACGTCTTGCCTATTAGTTTATTATAATTATTTATTATTTTATTACATAAAAAATAGAAAAATAAAAAATGAGAAAAGAAAATACAGAAAAAGCACAATGTAATTAATATTTATGAGCTACGTATTCGTCCCGCCCCGCACGCGCTGCATGCTGGATGGAGCGGAAGTAGCGGTGCACGTTGACATTGTTTCTCGCATTAGACACACAGAAAGGTGAGTTATGCTGTCATATTTGTAAAGCGAGTAGAGCTTAAGTGCTGCAACTGTGGAGGACAACACAGCTCGGCTTACCGCGGATGCGAAGCCAGCAAGAGGGCAGTGGAGGTGCAACGAATGAAGGCATTACAAGGAATAACATATGCAGAAGCAGTAAAGAAAGTGTCTAGAGAAAAGATTGTTTATAAACCAGCAAATAATGAAACTAAAGAAGCAAACAATGAAACTAAAGATAGACCTTGCAGGAGCTGTGAAAAAATTATGGGAAAAAAAGACGTGCTAATTATGAGCAAAAATGAATTTGTATTGTTCATGATTGAGGTGATCAATTGCTCGGCACAGACAGAAAGGAAGACTGGAAAGATCAAAATAATAGTTAAAGCAGCAGAGAAATATCTTGGGGTTAAAGGTCTTAGTTGTGAAGTAGTGGAAGAAATGTTAACTGCAGGAATCTCTTAACTCTCAGTCATGGGTTGGTGGATCTAACGTTACATGATTCTAGTTTTATTGCAGTGGAATGCCAGGAGTCTTATTGCTAATGGACAAGAATTCAAAAAGTTTGTTTCTGAGTTATCAGATAAACCTCATGTAATTTGGTGTGTGTATGTATATATATAGTACTGTCAAAGTACACACTCCAGTCCAGTAGGTGGCGGTAAATGCACCTTTCAGTTGGTTTGCCAACCGCCAATAAAATTTGAAGAAGAAGATATTTGTAAAGCTTTAGTGATCGATATTATTATATCAAGATATTTAAAAAGCTGGTTACGTTTTAATGAAGGTGTTTTTAGAGGAATATGTTGTTTGATATTCAGTGACATTGCTTTACATGACTGTATGAATGAATGAATGATGCTATATAACTTATTTTGTAACTTAACTCTTACATTTTGGGATTGGAAAATGCCAAAATTTTTAAAGTATGGTACATAAATGATCAAAATCAGCTTTATTTTAGCTGTACTCTCACTGACGGTATAGTATGTTAGCCCATATGTATCTTAAAAGAGTACGTTAAGTTACTTATAACGTAAAACAACATGCAAAGTTGTTCTGAATCTCTGTGAAATATTTTTTTTCAAACAATGAAAATGAATTATCACCAGCTCCAAAAATGACCATACAACACCATGAACACGCTATAACAATAGTTCATGCCACATATTCATATTAAGTCATTTGAAGCCTTATGATAACTTTGTGTGAGGAAAAATATATTTTTGCATTGATTCAAATATGGTACATCAAATTGTCTCACATCATGTTGTACTATTTTACTATTTTATTAAACTTATATAGTCAGTTTTTGTGAAACAAGTCCATATTTTGTCAGAAGAAAGAAGTCCTACAGGTTAGGAAGGGCATGTGGGCGAATAAATAATGAATTTGGAGAAAGAAAATCGATTTTCTATGAACAGCATAACACAAGTAATGATGCAACAGGATCTACTTGATCTTCAGTGTCCTTGATGATCTCTTGATCTCTTCAGGATTGGTGTTCATCATGGGTGCATCTGTATCCAGTCTTGCCCCCACTATTCTAGCAGAGTCTGCAATGTCAGTGCCTCATTTTGGTGGGGCGTCCCCACCCCCTGGGTGTCCCATGCATCAAGAGCCCCCTAAAAGTGAGTCATGCACCATCTGTTATCATGAGCTTGATATCTGTGGATTTTATGTAATAATAATTCACAATGTGTAATATAAACCCAGGCTCTCCGCCTCCTGAGTGCCCGATGCATCAGGCTCAGATGCCACCGGCTGGCCCAGCGCATCAGGAGAGAGCTTATGAGTTTGTCGAATGTCCCATGAGAGCTTCTGAAGGAGCCATCGATCCCGCAAACATGGTGAGCTTGGCATCCTGTCAGTAAGATGACGCTCTTTGAGATTATTTTGGCTTATGTGTGTTAATGTTGCTTTTGTCCCACAGATGTCCCCTCCAAACCAGGTGCCCACCCCGGACCAGCCGTTCCCTCTGTCCGTGAAAAGAGAGGAGTCTAAAATCCCACAATCAGGCACAGGCCAGAACTGGGTTTATCCTTCTGAACAGATGTTCTGGAATGCCATGCTGCGGAAGGGGTGAGTTTACCTTTATGTCCCGATTCCTAAATCCATGTTTTACAACCAGACACGTGCCCTGTTATATTTTGGAGAGCTCTATGTAAACCAGATATGCCGTTTGGCTTAGCTTCAGGAAGCCTGTGAGTGCTGTAATTTGATTACCTAGATAGAAAAAAACAGCATATCATTCCCCAAGGCCAAGAAACTCCAACTCCTCACGGCATACAAATAGATCTTAATTTGATGTTAGCATGTTGTTTTAATGTTTTAGAAAGACATCTCTTATGCTCATCAAGGCTACATTTATTTGATCAAAAATACAGTAAAAACAGTAATATTGTGAAATATTATTACAATTTAAAATATTTGTTTTCTATTTGAATGTATTTTCAAATGTAATTTATTCCTGTGATGCAAAACTGAATTTTCAGCATCCATTACTCCAGTCTTCAGTGTCACATAATCCTGAATTTAATGCATCCTTGCTGAATAAAAGTAAAATAAAAAATACTGACCCCAAACTTTTGTGCAAATATAGCTGTAAGTGTATAACATAATCAATAAAAAAAAAAAAAGGAATATACAATAATATGTACATTTATTTTAGATGTAAATGTTTTCTTGTTTTTTCTTAAATTATTATTCATGTATTGTTATATATAATTTACATTATTCTTGCTTTATCCGTGGGAGGTGCTACGTTATATTTTGGTCAAATTTGGCATTTTGGTAGGCAATTTTTTTTGCCTACTGTTTGAGGTGTGCCTATGATTCCTTAAAATGCCATCTAGACAGGCAGCACACTACGTTTGGAACGGAGCTATTGTTTTGATACTGTTCAGAAAAGACTAGCACGTTTTGCACATTTTGGAAGAAAAATCAGTCTTTTTTTTTTTGTTGTTCTGAATTGCTATTAATAGCTAATTGCTGTTTGTTGTTTTGCTAGGTGGCGCTGGAAGGATGACAGTCTTGCTCCAGAAGACTTGACCAATATAATCCAGATTCACAATCGTAACAACGATCAAGCCTGGCAGGAAATCCTGAAGTGGGAAGCGCTGCATGTCAGGTGGCTGCAGCACAACTTAATTTTCACATGACCAATGACTGAGAGCATGCTGTGTTAAAATGTGTTCCAGTACAAGAAATTAATACTTTTATTCTGCAAGGATGCATTAAGTTAATCAGAAGCAACAGTAAAGACTTTTATAGTTTTTATAAAGATTACAGTGCTGTTTTTAACTTTCTGATCATCAAAGTCTATTCATCAAATAATCCTGAAAAAAGTACTACAGGAATAAATTACATTTCAAAATATATTAAAATATGAAACAGTTTTTTAAATTGTCATAATATTTCACTATTTACAAACACAGCCTTGGCCAGTATAACAGACTTCATACTGTATTAAAATGTGTTCAAATTAAGTGTTTATATTGTTAGCAGAAATAATGGTGACTGATAATAAAGTAACTTGTGATGCCAAACACATTTTAATGAGATGAAAGCTTCATTATCATCTCTGTAGCCCTGTTGCTGTCAGATAAGCGAGGTGATAATATCGTGTTAGTCGCCTTCTGTTTGTCATTTGATGGTCACTGGCAGTGTGATCTGCATTGATTCTACAAACTGCCAAGTACGCAAGAATCATCATAGCGCTGTAGATTACTGTTCGTTTCAAGCACACATTTGTCTCTGGCAGCGAGTGTCCATGCGGTCCATCTCTGAAGAGATTCGGGGGAAAAGCCAAAGAGTTCTCGCCCAGAGCAAGAATACGTCATTGGATGGGGTGAGATATAAATGTAAATACCAAAAGATGTGTTTAAAAAGCTGCAGAGTGCTTGATTTCTCTCCGTTAACTTTCTCTGTAGATATGAATTGCCTTTCGACCGACATGATTGGATCGTAGATCGGTGCGGAAAGGAAGTCCGATATGTCATTGACTACTACGATGGGGATATTAATAAAGACACCTACCAGTTTTCCATCCTGGACGTGCGTCCAGCCATCGACTCTCTAGAGGCTGTCTGGGATCGGATGAGGGTGGCCTGGTGGCGCTGGACATAATAGAATCCATCACAACACAGTTTTAACATTTCTGCACCACTATAAGACGTCACAGACTATTCGGTACCAATATACTAGAATCTGTGTGCTCAACTTCATTGAGTTCTGACTGTAAACATGAATCGTAGCAAATTATTGCACATTGACGGACTTAAAGGTTGTGAGTGTTCTCTATTGGAGAGCACAAGGAATCAGTGTTTTTTTTTCTTCTGATGAGGTTCTGAATTCATCATCAGCTAGCATTTCTTTTTCTGCTTGTTGAGTGAAGGTTATCAAACTGGAAAGCGTGCTATCTGATCTTACGCAGAGGTTAAACATATCCACTGGTTGTTTTTCTCTCTCAAAGGCTGAATATTGAGTGTTTTAGTTCACGGTGAGAGCGATTGGCAGCTGTTAGCATTTGTAGCCAATGGTTTGGTGGTCTTCGCTTTTGAATGTCATTGATTTTGATGACGCATATCATATGAAATAATCTGTTTCTCTTCCATATTAATTTTGCTGTCGGCTTTAAAATGATTGAATTTCTTGTACCTACTGTTTGGGTTTATTTATTTTGCGCAAACTGCTTCATTGTTGTGTGTGTGTGTTGCTAATTATGTTCTCTTTGAGTGAGAGTGTTTCTGAAATATTTCCCCCGATTTCAGACCTGCAACAAATTATAATTCCAACTTTCAAAAGCTGATTATTGAGTGTTTTAGCTCATGTTGAGAGCGACTGGCAGCTGTTAGCAGTTGCAGCTCGGCGAAATGGTTCAGCGGTCTTTGCTTATGAATATGATTGATCCGATGAAGCATATGAAATGTTTTGTTTTTTAATTAAAAGCCCTTGTTCAGCTGTTCAGGTCTTCCATATTCATCCGGCATCCGGGTTGTGTGTGTGTGTGTGTGTGTGTGTGTGCTAAAGATTTGCTGACTGCTCTCTTTGAGTGAGAGTTTCTAAAATATTGTTCCTCCTATTTCTCTAATTCTCCGGTATTTGTAACCCAGTTCATTTGTTTTAAATCTGACCTGTAACAAATTTAAATTTCAACAAGTAAATCAACAGTCTAAAAATACATGTGTCCCTTAGATTTGCTTGGCTGTTAATGCTTCACTTTGGTCACTTTCCAGTTTACTCCAGTAGGTGGTGCCCTTTCCTCAGAAAATGTCATTTCTTTCACTATTGTTCATAAGTAATAGTGACTAGTGATTTAGAGGAGGGTCATAAAATTGTTACCATCATGCTCAGGCACAAATCTGCTTGTACAGGGATAAAATGTAACCATTTTATGAAATAGTCATGGGATAGTTTCTGGAGTTTAGTTTTTTTTTTTTGCATTCTTATATTGTCTACAGTGGAAATGAATGAATCAACTAAAATATCTATAGACAGGTATACATACTCTAGTGTGATCAATGGCATGTACAGCTGTCCCATGAACAAAGAGACATTTGAACAGTGAAAATTACATATATTCTGGAAGATATAATATGGAAGACAAATAGGATCACAAAATTCAATACATGCAATTTGATCATTCATTATTTTGATACCAAATATCACATTGTAGTTTTTCCCACAGTGGTGCGACACTAGGGTCAGTGGATATTGTATTGTATTGATTTGAATATGATGCACTGTAAACAATTTTAGTTGATTTATTTATTTACATCGATGTATCAGGAGTGTGAGGAGTCATTTTTATTAAGTCTATCTTTAAATATTATGGTGTCTAAAACTACCAGCCTTTAGTGTGTTGATGTCAGTGTATGTAAAACCCTTAATCTGGACCCTTTCGGCTAGAGATGCACCGATTGCAGTTTTCTTGTCTGATTCACAATTTTTTTGATGAGTGTGATCTGCCGATTCCGATTTTCTTTCTAAGAACTATAACTGACAGCATATACAAACAAAAATCTACCTTTTTTCAATGCAAATAAATTATTTACATAATCTATTAAACATTACAATTCCCCCAATCTGGACCAAGTTACAGATGTTCTTCTCTCACACAACTCAAAATAAAGTGCTCGCTGACTGGAAAGAGGTACAAATAACAATAAACTGAAAATGAGTTGCTGTATAAAACAAAACAGATGTAATTTCACACTATGTTTATAAATGGTCATTTTTCCCTAACCTTATTGTGTCATCTTTCACATCAAATTCTTACATTGTTTCAATTAATTCAGAATAATAAGAAACTGGAAAGTTGTTACCATTCAAATGAAATCAGGATCAACAAACTCCATCTTTCCACTGCAGGAAACACAGAAGCTGCATCTGACGTGGCATTAGATGCATTTACACAGACCGTTTAATGAAACTGAGAGGTGCCATAAATGCATTTACACCGCAAAATTGAAGAAAATTTAAATAAAAATTTCATAAGATTAATGTTTTAAATCATTTTTGGAACATACAAATAAGAAATGTTGGGAAAAATGCAATGATACTTTTTCAAATATGAACCCAAACCACCAGTTTTAATGAGTGAGTCATTCATTCAACCGATTCGTTCAAACGGCTGATTCATTCAGAAACGAGGCAAGTTTTGAATGGGTTACTGAATCATTGACTCACTTCTGACGTGGCATTAGATGCATTTACACAGACCGTTTAATGAAACTGAGAGGTGCCATAAATGCATTTACACCGCAAAATTGAAGAAAATTTAAATAAAAATTTCATAAGATTAATGTTTTAAATCATTTTTGGAACATACAAATAAGAAATGTTGGGAAAAATGCAATGATACTTTTTCAAATATGAACCCAAACCACCAGTTTTAATGAGTGAGTCATTCATTCAACCGATTCGTTCAAACGGCTGATTCATTCAGAAACGAGGCAAGTTTTGAATGGGTTACTGAATCATTGACTCACTCGATTCGTTCAAAAACGGTCACTTAAGTCACTTAATTTTAACTTGTTTATTGAACTACTATTGAATAAAATCAGTGTCACGTTGCATCAAACATCTTGGTCGTGCATTGTTGCTTACCTATATATTATAAATAGCATTTTCTTTCTACCGCAGTATGCATCTATAAATTTCTGTGAGTTTCTTGTTCTATGAGTTCTGTTGCACTCATTTGTTTTGATTTCTGCAAGAGCCTCATGGCACAACATAAATACATTATCAGTCGCCGTTTACACTGAATGCAATAAAATCACAATCATTCTCGCGCGAAAATTTTTGGTGGCCAAGTTTCAGTAGTTATTTTTGTTATTGACGTTTTAATCACGTAAAATTATCTCTCACTTGCCGTTTAAAAAATCCACTTGTCCCAGACAAGTGTTAATCGAGCCCCCCACGGTTTACTTTGGCCCCTCAGACATTGCAAATTGCGAACATTGTGTGTCCTTCACTCAGTGAAGAACTTGTTTACATGCGGATGTGAGCATACCTGTGACGTCAAAATGGACAGGTGTTGTGCCCATTTTCGACCCCCTGCAAAATTATTACCCCTCTCGTTGAAATCGCTATCTGATTGCCTAATCCTAACCCCTCCCCCACACCTAACCCTAAACCTACCAATACTAGGGGGGTAATAATCTGGCAGGGGTCAGAATTTGGCACAACACCGGCTTACTGTAGATTGTGTATTGCACACTGAAGAGTTATGGATTCAGACCACACACACACACGTTATACATATATGTATATATAACATGCACAATCATTTATTATGCTGAAATGTGAGGTTTATGATTTTACAAAACTTTTTATTAAAAGTTGTATAACTTTTAGTTTTTATGGTAATTTTATAGTCATTTGTCATTAGTCAGATAGTCATTTGTTGTTTAACAGTGTATTTATCCTTAAAGGTGATGATGTCCATCCTATGAGAGCTTTTTTAAATCACCTAGAGGAGAAGCAGTGGTTCCTCATGTCTGTGAGTAGGTGTGGGAAAGAAATCTTCACTCACGGCCCAGAATAACCTCATCCTCTGGGGAAAGTTTCCGCCTCTTCTTCCTTTACAGAAGGCAACCTTGAATTTGGTGAGTTTTATGAGCAGTTTTAGCTGTGACTGATAATTACGCTGCATTTGAGGGTCCATTGCCTGCTTTTGAATAATGCATGTGTGGTGACAAAGCTACTGTATGCTTGTATTTGGTTTTTCGTCTGGGTTTCTGTTTGGCAGGGAACCAGAAAAGCCCCTTGTAGTGCACAGAGCAGATCTCGAAATAGCCTGTGGCAGTGGAGTCTGGCGGGGGGGATTCAAGCCCCCTGCAATCCTTCCAGTCTGTTTCATTTACATACCAAAAGATGCCCAGCTGTGCCAAGTACAATATCCAGGCTTTGTCTATAGATTCCAGAACTGTAACATTAATTACGGGAAGGAGTAACTATTGGAAAGTTTCTAGCTTGTGGGTCACTGGTGTGATATCAGATATTGACTGATGTTTTTGCTTCTGTATTGATTGTACTGCATCCAGAATGATCCTGATGGAAAGCCTTGTGTGTTGCAGATTCAGTCCCACTTATTTTAAGCAGTTCAGTTATGACAAGCTTGTTTGAAATTTGTTACCGAGTGCAGGGTTATTATCGTTAACTAAAATCAAAATCATAAACATTTTCATTACTTGAAGTCATTTAAACATTAACTGAAGTAAAATATACAATCTAATTTTTTTTGTATTATTATTTCAGCTAGTTGCTAAGGTAACATTTCTCTTTTTTGTTTAGTTTTAATTGAAAGTACTAAAATAACTAAAACTAAATAAACTAAAACTTAATGCAAACTATATAAACACTATATAGACATTTAAACAGAAACAGAAAAAAATTAAATCTAATTCAAAATATTGACAAAAACTATATATAGTTTATCAAATGATAACACTGATTGAATGTCACTGTGAAAATATTGTACCATCTTTCTGTCTGGTTATAAGATAAAAGCACATCTTCAGTAAGCTCAGTTGACAGAATTTGTGGCATAATATTGATTACCACAAAAATTAATTTCCATTTGTCCCTCCTTTTTATTAAAAAAGCAGAAATTCAGGTCACAGTGAGACATTGACAATGGAGGTGAATGGGGCCAATCTGTAAATGTTTTAAAAGTAACACCACAAGGCATAAAATTAACTGTAAAAATTATTTAAACAGATGTATAGCTCAAATAACAGAATAACTAGTTTAAATGCTTTTGTAGAATTATCAGCTTCACATTTCTGCTTTTAAATTCTCCATAAAGTCAGTTCCATTTTAAGGGCTTCAGTGTTACTTTAAATTTCTTTTTCTCTCTTTCTTTTTTTTTTTAAGAAAATGAGGGCTCAGTCCATTTTTTTGTGTGAGATATCCAACATTATGCCACAAATTCTGCTGATTAAACTTCATTTGTGTTAAACCTGTATAATTCCTGTAGGCCACACTTAAAAATGTGTAAATGTCATTGAATATCAATCCAACTGGCATTTATTTGTAGGAAAGATATAAGCACACTTTCGTGTTATGTAATGCAGACATTCATACATTTTTAAGTAGCATAAGTGTCTAGAGTGGTTTTGGGGTCACTGCATATTTATACAAAATATGAATATTCCCTATCTAGAGCAGTGAGAAAAGCTGTCTCACTGTGAATCATGTATGTTTGTGTCTTATTCCTGGTTTAAGTGTAATTGCTTGTTTATCAGCAGCTGTTTTAAATGCAAACCCCATCCATGATTTGCATCCGGACCACTTCTCCCACACACTTTACTGTTAACACACAGCAGTTAAAAAATAACACACTGGAATTGGTAATTGTGCTCTCTCTACATGCTAATAATAAAGAAAACAGCATTATGCTGAAAATAAATGAATGCATGCAGGGTGTTTAAGGGCTGTCAGTCTGAGGCCTGCAACAGGAAGACAACACAGTCCCACAGGAAGCTTTACTACACTTAAGAGTTTTATATGAAAATGAAATGCGGTAATCATGGAGACAATTTTATGACACGCCGGCACCGTTTTGTACAATCATTGTGGATTTATTCTGCATACATCATTCATTTTTATTTTGCAGTTATATTATACATCAGGGCTATTCGATTGCACTT